GGGGGGGGGGGAGGTCTACCGAAGTACCTTTCCGACATGTTGGAAGCTGTACAACATCGCTGTATGAAGGTCATCGGAATTCATAAAGACGCTCTGCCTTCGCTGTCCAGTAGGCGTGACACAGCCACACTGAGAACATTACAGAACATTCTTCAGGACAGCAGTTCTCCCCTGAATGAGTTTCTGATCCCGCCATGTGTTAACCGCTACTGTCTGGAGGGTCTGCAGTGGGGGGGGGTGGTCCTGGCAACGGTTAACGGTAAATTCAGCGGGGCCGATAACGCTTAACGGTAAATTCAGGACGGTCGGCAACGCTTAACGGTAAATTGACAGGCTTTTTTTCGAGCTGCACTGGATTTGGTATCTCGCTTTGTGAGAAAAGGTGATCACTGACAAAATTACCTTACATGTAATGAAGCACGCATTAAAGGTATGTGTTTCCCACCTGCCCTGGTCACCGAGTGCGTCCACAAATACCGGGGTGTCCGAGTCGACATCGGCCAGCTTGCATTTTTCAGTCTGCCCAGTTTTACCGATGGATTGTGAGAGGGGAGCGCCGAAGGCGCTCGTAATCTAGGGGGTCCGGGGGAAATTTAGGATTTTTAAGCCTTCAAAAACGCAATTTCCCGCATTTTGAGAGGCAAATCATGGTGTTGAGAGTGTTTGTCGGTCCTTCTAATGTTCTCATATTTTACTCAAGATTTTTGTTAATTTGCCTGTCAAGGTTGACGGATTCGTTAAAAAAATTCTGTAACTCTCCGCAAACTTCCGGTAATTGACAGGAAAACTGGTGCTGGCTAGAGCCGAAGGGACCGAGCGCAGAAGCGCGAGTCGAGCGCCAAAGGCGCGAGCAATGTAGGGGGGTCCGGGGGCATTCTCCCCCGGGAAATTTTGTATTTTTAAACCTTCAATGACGCATTTTCCTGCACTTTGAACGGCAAAATTAGGCGTAACGAAGAATTATTCATTAACGCTTAACGCTGAATTTAGGATGACAAATAACGTTTTACGTTGAATTAAAACGGCCAATAACGCTTCACGAGGAATATACCGATAACGCTTAACGTTGAATTAGAGCGGGCCGGCAACGATTAACGGTAAATTAAAATAGCCCATAACGGTTAACGAAAAAGGGCATGCAGACCCTCCTGTCTACGGCGAGAGGGCCGCTTCCGAACAACCAAGAGCAGAACCAAAAGACATGAACTGTCCTTTGTCTCCAAAGCACTGAAACTGTATTACCACTCTAGCAACGGATTCTACAACACCTCCATGTTACAACTTACTAGGAAGGAAGGAAGGAAGGAAGGAAGGAAGAAAGGAAGAAAGGAAGAAAGGAAGAAAGGAGGGAAGGAAGGAAGGAGGGAAGGAAGGAAGGAAGGAAGGAAGGAAGGAAGGAAGGAGAGAAGGAAGCTAAGGAACGAAGGAAGAAAGGAAGGAAGGAAAGGAGAAAGAAAGGAAATCAAATCAGCCTTAATATTTTCTACATGTTTTCTGACCTTTGTAAAGGAGGTATGTATGTCGGTTCAAAATGACCAGTCACTTCTCTGTTCCAAGCTCAGACGTCAAACGGTTTGGTGGTCTGTGTGTTTTATGGAGTTTCTTCCCCCCCTCCCTTTGTTTCATGGTTTTGGCCAAGCATCTGAATATACAAAAGGCTGTGTGTTTTAAAGCACCAGTAGCACATTGTATGGCAGCCAACACGGAAATATTTAACGGCAGCGTTGCCATGACGAAACCATCCAAACATAGCGTCAACAGTAACTTGACTATTGAACTGATAACGGTGTTGCTTTTAGAATGATCCAGCATTCTACTAGAGGGAAACCATTCAAAATGGGATATTGGTGACAAATTGTGGATAAGTCATGGTATTAGTTCTTTAGTAAAATAATTTATCCTTAAAATAATGATCAAGTTCATTTTCCATGATACAGTTTGCTTGCAAAATATGCAAAGTCAATCGTAAACATTTGGTGGTGTTTTTATATAACGTTTTGTCTTGGGAGCTTGTCCCTTCCCTAGCCTTCTCGTTTTGTTTTCCTATTTTAACATTTAACACAAGACAAGAACACTCATTTGATTGGCACTAACGCAGAAGGAAATAGAAAATACTCATGTACATTATTGTATAGTGTTAGCATAGTGCATAACGTGTAATACACTACACATAGAGCGTTATTTTTGTCAATCTGTAAATGGCGATCCTGTTAATACCAATAAAACGATGAATGAAGTATAAACATGTATTACCTTTTTTTATGAATGAAATGTGTTCCTAAAACATCGAAATGTGTCCCAGGAGCGGGGGAAGCGATTTCTCGGGAGCCGGGCAGCGAAGCCCCGGGAGCGGAAAGGGGGTCCCCTTAGTGGGGGCAGTGGGGTCCCTAAAACGGGAACAGCAGGGCCCCGGGAACGGGAGCAACGGGTCCCGGGAACGGGAGCAACCGGTCCCGAGAGCAGGGCGGGTTGTGGCCGGGAGGGGTGGGGGGGCTAGTACAGGCGTGTCCGACCCGTACACGGCGGATTTCCGTGATAATTGCCGCTAAATTATGCATATTCCAGCAACACACGGAGCGGTGCACGGCCATTTCCTGCCGTGTACAGGGATTTAAAGGCCGCGTGTCCGGACATATAACGCCCCGTACACGGCCTGCACACATTGGTTCATTTCCTTGAATGTCCAGGACATGTACGGGACTGGACACCTTGCGTGTGCAGGTTGGAAACCCCCGGGTTCTACCGGAAACCTAAAATATCCGGGAAAGTGTGCGACAATTTTTCAGACGGAAACGAGGGATTTTGTGCGGTGTGAGTTAAGTGAGGGAAGCCTTGTTCAGTGCGTTTCCCAAGGACACAGGATCGGTGACATGACAGGATTCGAACTCGAGACCTCAAACTAATCCCAAAGCCACTGTTCCTAGCGGAGCAGTTTGCAGTTACGCCTTACGACCGCACACAATAAAATCATTGTTGTGTGTCTACCATTTGGTCTGTAAAGTACATACAGACATGCCGCAACAGTGGAGACAAATCTGAACATACAAAAGGGCTGTTTTTTTTTTTACCGCATTAGTGGTAGAAGTGTATGACTTACCAACACGGAAATTTTTAAAGGCACCGTCACAATCGGAACTATCTAAACATGTACCTTTAAAATAGGACCAGGTCTATTCGAACATTCCCTGACTATTTGCTCGTTTGTTTCCCATAACCGGTAAACCGCCTTGAGCTCACCAGGCGTTACAAATCAGTTTTGTTTAAATAAGTACAAGCTGCATGAAGCTGGAGTCACATGTTGTCGGCATGGCCGGCGTCATGACGCCGAGCGTGCGCCAGCTGTCAGGGGCACAATTTCATGTTCCTGTTGGGCCGCGCTGAGGCGACTTCTATTTGAAATTCACAAATTTTGATCACTTTGACGGTCGGTTTCTGTCAGGGACCCGTCTGATGCCCGGTCAGTCTCCCGTCTTGACTTGTGCGGAGTGCGGTAGGGTGCCGACCTGCAAATACAGTCCGGCCGGGCAGCTACAGGGTCCCTGGTGGGGTCCAGGGGTGATCCTGGCGGGTCCCAGGTTGGAACGCCCCTGGCTGGTATGGTGGCCGTGGGTTCACCCCTGGTTGATGGGCACCCGTCGCCACGTAAAGCTACGGTCACAACCCGCCCTACGTGCTTCTGCGTGCTGTCTACGTGCAAAAACGTGGGCAAA